TAAGTTACATAAAAAATAAAATTTAAGAATATATGTATAATAGAATAAATACGCCGATTCCGTAGAGCTGTTCCATAGGCATTGTCATTTGGACAATATTTTTTTTATGACATATACGCTTAGCTTATACACTAAAACTTCTATAAGAGCTCACTTATAAAAGTCGTTGACAACTATAAAGTGTATATTGATGTGAAAACGAGTTCAAGAGAATACTAAACGAAAAAGCAATCCTATGTCTTTTTGTTTATTGTTGATGTTCATAGCCATTCATTTTACTACTACCAAAATGAAACTTTTTTAATTGGCATATATTTCACAAATATCCTTGGAATAATTGGTTTGAGTTCGAAACTCAAACATTTTATGGATAGATCAATATTAATTTATATTATATAGATGTATATAGCATATATACATGGTATAACTAGTTACGATGATTTTAAGTGCGGCGAAAAAAGGGTATTTATAATCATCTATTATAGGGAAATAGTATCAATGTACCAATTGATACAAGTATCATTAAGTCTAATTTTTAATAGATACTTTCATTTTAAATGTAATTTATACATTTTTCAAGTTTTACCAAGATGTAATTTTATATATGTATTTCAGTTTATAAATATATTAAGATTTTGTATTTTGACTCGATCTCATTTTATTATAATAATATTTTTCATTTGCTGTTCAATAAAGAATATTTTATGCAATACCAGTAGGTAATGCTTTGTAAGCTTTTTAACATTAATTTTTGGTCTATTAGTATTATAGAAATATCTATAGTAGTTTATTTAGTATTCATTGAGGCCTAGTTTTCTCCTAATGGACGTCATTACATCGATGAGTTTACAGAACGAAAAATAACGTTATATTCAATATATAATTGCCGAAGTCTCTCGACTTTGTTTATTTGATTTTAAAGACACTTAAAGTTAATAAAATATACTTTTTTCCAAAAAAAGTGTATAAATCATGTTATTGTATATATAATTAAATAACTGAATACCTTTAGAATTTGAAAAATAATACATAATTTATTGTGAAGTTGATCGTCGTGTGTGATTGAATCTACTCAATAAAGATTGTTTGTAATTGCGTTTTCTCGTTGAAACAATCTTCTTTGCAGCTGTATTTCCCTACTAGACGGGCTTAGACAGGATTTGGGTTTGGAAGGTTAGGATTACTGCTGGCTGCCAACCATTCGTTGACTATAGAATTTAAGCCCTGTAGAAGAGGAAGGTTAGCTATTTCTTTCTGTGGACAGTCTCGAACCCGCAGATAATGAAAAAACTAGTGACTGTGCCGGTATATTATTTCTCGTTTAAACAATATTAGAATGACAAACCACTCTAAAATCTTTAAACTTGTTTTTTTAAATAGTCTTTCGTATTTTTTTTTAAATAAAATAATTGGTAATTTATTTGAAAATAATGTATATACTACAGATTTAATCAGTTATTACTTATTTCATATTGTTATTTTAAATAGAGACTGCCAACGTCGCGTCGGTTGAAATAGCCGAACCTATACGTTTGCGAACACACGCGTTTTAAACATTATCGCATTTTGAGTTTGAAGGAGCTTTAAAAATGCATTAGCGTGGTGATATGAAAAAGACATTAGGGCTGAACCTTCCCGCTCTCCCCTGAAAATCCGTATACTCAATAATATACCATCGTGTTACAGCGTTGAATTCCTAAGTAAGCTAATGTTTATACAATCGTGTATGTAAATTGTATTCAGTATTATGTTATACGCGTTTATAAAATATCATCCACGCGACAATTTTTTATCTATGTTCAGCGAATAAAATATAAATAGTAGTATACAATAGTGATGTAAAATTAATGCTTTTTCATTTCATATATACATTTTACGTTGACTTCTGATATTTCTAATGTTGAGATACGCTATATTTGATTATTAATCCACTAACAGGGACAAAACATATATGCCTACATATACTAAACGGTGTATTATCAAATAAAACTGAGCGTGTAAACGTTATAAAGAAAACTTGAAAACCATTAAATTACAAATTGTAAACAGAATCTGACGTTAAAGTTATAAAATAATATGCCCAACTCTGAACCCGATAATACATAAAATTTAATTTATCTCAAAAAAATATTTTTAATGAGTTTTCCAAATTGTTGGTTATTAACACTATGAAGAGTTTTAGATTTTCAACATTTTACTGTCCCCCGATGAACATACACACGTAGGTATATATGGTTTCGTATATAATATTGCAACGGCAAAAACGAGCGCAAGGATCATTGGGGCTTGGGCAAACCGGTGATGGAAAAAAAAAACATGTTTCCTCGCCTTTTACTTGACGCGCAACGCACAATACAACCGAATTGCTTACATTGGGAGGTTTTGATAAATTAAGCGGTGAGATTTAAGCGCCGCGAAAACCTGGGGTACTCCTCCCCGATATAGTGTTTGTCCTGGCAGCGCTGGTCGGTGCTATATTGCTGCCTGCCGCTACCGATGCCCGTTCGTCCAGAGCTTTCGCCAGTGCAGTGTGCCGCGAAAACTCCTTTTGCCTGTGATGAATGACGGGACAGCTGAAGCGGATTAATTATTATCGTTACCGGTGGCGAAACGGGGCTATCGTTCAAAACGTCCTTAAGAGAAACGACGCGCAAAATGAATTGCCAGCCGATGCGATGAGGCGAATACGCACAATAACATACACCATCGCCGGCCAATACTATCTGGTCGGCGCACCAATAAACGCCGCAGTTAATGTACTGAAACCTCGGACAGTCGGTTATGGGTACACCGCAAAGTCATTCGCGGCGGTACCTGCAATCGTCGGTGGCCATCGAGAAATCAAGTCACATATTACACGAATACACGCAAATAATAAAAAAACATAATCATAGTTTTATGTTCTTGTACTTTTTGATACATTTTGTACTTCTACAAGGTGCCTTCATAAATCATACCCGTGTTTTTAGCTATATAAACGTTAAACTTGGATAAATGAGACAAGAAAATGTATTTTTAATACTTACACTACAATCATAAAAATGAGCTGTCAAGTTAGCACAAACTAAAAAACATAGTGAAAATTGTTCAAAAGTCATGAAAAATTTGAATATTTTGAAGAATTTATTTCTTTGCTATACGATAAACTACCTTTAGTGATGTATTATATTATTATTATTATCAATACAACGACTACTTTAATTCAAGAAAATAATTTCCCGCCGTTACAGTTATAGTATACAAGTTTTTTTCTAGTAGCTTTCAAATACTTTTTGTATCTTGTATGTAGTATCTTGAACCTTGATTTTAAGATACAAATACATGTACTCTGGTATTTCGTTATTTTTATTTAAAACTCAATTATCATAATATTGATTACTTTCAATAATAATAAATTCGTGTCATCCGAAATATAATTTGGACCAAACATAATCCTGGTTTGGGAGTCGGACTCTTTGATTTAGTCATCTACAGATGACTAATTATGTGTAATTATTAATGTGTATGATACCTACACCATATGAACTAAGTAGTTCAGACTTCACGCAGTCACCTAGTATATTGTAACAGTCATGAAATTTTATCGTTATTCAGTGAAACTGAATAATGGCAGAAGAATAAATCACTGTTATTTAAAACGTTACAGTAGTTGAAAATATTATTAGTCATCTTATTCCAAAACTATTAGTGCTATTATTAAAAACATTTTCAACAAAATAATATGCCATAAAGAGATAATGATAATAATCTGTAGTTAAATGCAGTTTGCATACTCTGTAATAGTGATAAATAAAATAAATATCGGCATCGTTGGTTTCCACTATAACATTTTTGTCTGTATCTAAAGGTAAATGTTAAAATATGTAAAATTAATTCATATTTGTATAATATAATATGTTATTTATAGTTGTATGCATTTAATTAAAAAGAAACTTATAACAATATAAAAAATAAAGTTGACGATTATTTAATAAGTAAAACGGAAAAAACGTAAATTATGACAAAACAAAATAATGATATAACAAAAAAAAAAATCGATTATAATTTATCAATACATAAATTGTACTTTGAACCGGTATTTTTATCTTGTATCTTAAAAAAATACAAGATACTGTATTTTGTATTTAGTTGACAAAATACTGCATTTTGCCCAACCCTGTTTATATTCAACCGCTTTTGTTTATTTTAATTAGCTAACATCAATAATAGGTTCAAACTTTATCCGTTAAGGCCAGTGTAATTTATTAACATTGCAAAGATATGATTATATGTTGTTATGTGTTATGCAGTATATTATGGTAGAGATTTTATGTTTTTTGTGTACCTACCTATATGAACATTATCAACTTTTGAGACATATGAAATGCTGTATTCTGCGAAAGTCTCTACAATATCACATGCTATGACTAAATAATAAACTCGTCAACATTTATATTATTAGGAGGAAATGTTGGGTAAGGGTACCAGTTAGTGTTATCCTACGCATAAGAATTTATTGTTTGTGAAAAGAATTTGACATATCTATGGCTTGATAAATGTCTGTCAGCTACGTTGAGCATATTTGTCTAGAATGAAATTTCGCTTTGGCTTTAGAGCTTGGAAAAACGTTATTTCAACCGTAATTTAAAAAAAGAAAGGAAAACACAAAGATAAAATATGAAAAAAAGATAAGACATTTTAAAAGCCGGTTTAATGTCATCCAAGTAATTTTTTACCTCCGTCGTATATTTATACTTAACCAACCGACCGGGGTTTCGACTCTGTTATTATCTGTTTTATTTCCACACGATAAGTTACAACTTATACGCAAAGCACTACCTTTTCCACGCATTTTTAGTACAATATATTTTTTACAGTTTTAATTACGAAACTGGACATATTTTTCAAGACCAACAATTTCAGTGAACTCGGCATTTTTTGTTTTGTATGTTTGCCGTACAGTTCTTTTTCTGTTATAGTTAACTACGGTACGATTTTGTTATTCCAATTTTTTTTTTCAGGTTGCTGGTGTTCAGAAGACGAAGAGCGTCTGGTCAGAGATCTGTTCAGAGGCTACAACAAGCTGATCCGGCCGGTTCAGAACATGACCGAAAAAGTAAACGTGCAGTTCGGTCTAGCGTTCGTGCAACTCATCAACGTGGTACGTAATCAGCTGAATATAATATATATATATATACACAATACGATGGTCCTTTTTAGGACTGTAATTTCAATCACCTAGTAATGTAAAATAATGAATTTGTCATATTTAATGTGCTGTCTCATAAGAATTGACAGTGTTGCAAATAAAATAAAACTAATACAATGTATGTAGTTCTTACTTGAAAATTAAAAACTAAATGAATAAAAATCAAGGTTGGACATTTTTTTAATGATAGATCATTCGACGAATAAAGTATTTATTCACAAAAAAAATCATTATTTTGTATCAGTTAAAAAATGTACAGATGAAGATAATTTATACATCTATTATTAGTTGATAAAATTACCCAATTTAATACTAATTAGTTAATTGTCTTAAATGTTTTCCTTTTGTTCTAGAACGAGAAGAGTCAAATTATGAAGTCCAATGTTTGGTTGAGACTAGTGAGTATATTTTTGTATTTTACTATTTACTGTTATAATTAGGTGAAAATAAAGATATTATACATTGAAAATTACCACTCTGAATTGTTGTTTGTCTTAATTTTCTCTGAACAACAGATTCTAGATTAGAGGTATAGGTATAGGTATAGGTAGGAAAGACAATTGTATCATTATTGGTTATCTCAAAAGAATTACCAAATTATAAAGATAGGCACTAATTGTTTTCTTTTTACATCGTTTTAAGGTGATCAATGATAATTATACATAAACTCGTATTATTTTTTTCATAAAGCAAATTTTGTACATTATAATTTATCGGAAATATTTTAAACGTATATTTGAGTTATGTTAGTTCTGTTCAACACGTCAAGGCTACATATAGTATACAAAGCCTATTTGCATCATCCTTCACGGCTGCTAGTAAAGTCCCTGGGAATAAACAATTCCCAAATACATCTTGTTACCGTCTCGTAACATAAGCGTCGTTAGGATTTCGGTTTGCCTATCTGATTAGAGACGAAATAAAAACAAATAAGGAACGCTTTGGATAACGCAAGGGCTATGCTGTAGTTTGCAGGGAAATCCCATGTACATATGTATGTATATGTGAAAGCGCAATAATCAATATAGGCAACGTAAGGTCGGGGCGAAACAACTGCCATGGTTGCGGGGAACGCGTTTTGAAACCAAAAGAATATAGAACGCTGACAACATGCCAAAAATGTTAATAGAATATACAAATATATCACAAGTATACACAACAATCAATGACTGTAAAAAGTATGCAGTGAGACTGGATGTGTAAATTATATGCGGTAATCACAAGTTTGAATGTGTTCACTTTACTCACCGCCGTGTAGTTACTTGTATTCACAATTTTACACATATATAATTCTAATTAATATAACGTTATATTTATAAAAAAGTGCACGTATTTTTTTCTCGATAAGTTAAAACAACTGAATTTCAAAAATAATGTTGGTTCCTAGTTTTAAATTAATACAGCCAAATGGTAGGCATAGCCCATTGGCCATTGTTGTTGTATTTGATTTCATACGAATAAATTTTATCGACTAGATATATATTTTATATTCCATCATACAACATAACGCTTGAAACAATTTATTTGCAAATGAAATTAACCATTACATTTCAATTATATACACTGAATAGTCTACTCGTATTTGTTTTATCGATGTCTGTGTTTTATTATTATTCAGTTTTCTATATGAATAAATATGTTGTTTGTATACATGTCCATCACTTCAAAACACCTCAACAAATCAAACCGAAGTTTTCAGGACGTATTTCTGTTGTCCCAATGAAGGGTATAAGCCAATTTGGACGACCCTGTAGAGCAAGCATAGAACTCTAAGTCTAGATAAACTAACATAATATGTTACAACCATTATTCAATTTCGTTAGGAAGTACGAATTTGAAATATTAACACCTTAAGCGAATATTATCATAATGCGTGTTTTTAAATTGATTTTTTTTTTGTAAATAACTGATTATCAAGCAAAGCCTGAATGAATTAGTCCGAAGTTAAATTTTGTCTGCGCTCTTATAAAAGTTAATGCCATCAATAATTATTAGGTAATTGTTTCTATATTCAACAGTTTATATTGTTTTCTTAATATTTTAGACGTGGACAGACTATCAATTACAGTGGGACGAGGCAGACTATGGCGGTATACAGGTGCTCAGATTACCACCCGACAAAGTATGGAAGCCAGATATAGTGTTGTTCAACAAGTAAGTAAAATTGAATATCGGTACTCTGGTCTCTATACCTAATACTATTATATAAAATATTAAGTAATACTTTATAGTAGAAGTTATATTAGTAGTAAAAACCTATTAAAATTACAATAAATTATATTGGTAACAAGAATTATAAAAATTCGCGTAAACATACACTAAACGAAAACATTTGTTATATATAGTGCTGATGGCAACTACGAGGTTCGATACAAGTCAAACGTGCTCATTCGACCAAATGGAGAACTTCTGTGGGTACCGCCAGCCATATACCAGGTACATTTTAATTATATTACATATTTATATTATAAATATGTTTTGTGGTATAATGCAATAATATACAATATAATACTCCATAATAACATATTTTTTTTAAAGATATACTGAAGAAATTTGTTAAAATGAGTTGTGAATGACTTAAAAATTAAAATCAAGTAATCGTTTAGTTTCCTGCTACCTATAGTTTAAGTTAAAATTGACAAAATTATTAAAAATCCTGGAGAGTTGTTTTTTTTTAAACCTTGCGATCTTGGTTCTTTAAATAATACTGGATTTCGCCACTTTGGAGGAAGACTCGAAATATATGAATTCTTTCACTGAATTTAAATATGCTTGTACTTATACTGTAATATTTATAATTATAATGATACGCATTATTTTTGGTTTACCTGAAACATGATATCAAAAATTAGTAGTGCTAAATAAATAAGAGGGATGTTTTTATGTTTGTAATAATATTTTTTTGTACTTGGTTATTTTCTTTAATTAAGTAAAGTGGAAGGTTTTGGTTTATATTTTGTTTTATTTTTACTTTATTCCATAAAATAATAAAGTAAAAGTGTTATTTTGGGGGTTTCGATTGGAAATATAATGATTTTACATTGGACCGTATAACTCAATCGGTTTTTTGAGAAACTTTTGTTAGTAAGCCGAAAGAAAGGATAAAAGGTACGATAGAGTTAAAATTAAAACAAGACAAGTTTCCTGTAACAAATACGATTTTAGAGACCTCTGCCGTCAACCCTTATTATTATTATTATTATTATTATTATACGTCGCTGAGGTAGTGCAACAAAACACCGATGGGGGCTCGCCTTGTTATTTCGCTCTTGAGCCTTCGACAGGAAATTTAATTTTAGCCCTCGTGTATTAGCATGTTTTAGTTAAGTTTTCCACCACCACCCCACTCACCTGCGACGGCTTACTGTAATCTTCGGATGCTTTTAATACGCAATTTATACGTTGCAGAATATTATAAACGCGGCCACTTTGTCCCTCTGTTTTAATAAACCGTTTAGATTATATAATACAAAAACAAATTCCAGGTCTATATAATACAATATAAAAAATAATCGCTGTAAAATGATTATTTTTCAACATTGTTTTTTATGTCTACAAATGAATGAATATGTATCTACTTTAAACTTGTGTACACATTTTTAGCACAGGAAAAAAATTGTTGAAATTTAACTTTTTTTCAGTTCTATAAACAAGGTTGCCCCATTAACAATGAATTCCAATTATTGAAAAGTAGTAGTCGGATGTGGTGATAGGGACTTTGAATGTTTTGAAATCCGTTTCTGTATTTTACGCCACAATTATTGGCGAGGTTGAATAATTTAGCACACAGTATGGCAAGAACCGCAGTAAGTATAGGGTAGAGTCTAGAGGGCAGAGGTAATTCTGAAAACACAACGTTGTTCCATAAGCAAAGTGGTCGCCCAAAAAATGGAATGTTGGCAATTTTTCTAGTGAAAATCTCGACATCGACATAGAGTTCTGGGAATTTAATAACAACGGCATGGCAGCCGTAGTTGTCGGCGAGACAAAGCTGCAGCTACCGAATTAAGATAGGTGAAGGGAAGGCTATAGGGAAGAAGGTATACGTATTTCCAGCGCTTCAACTGCTGTCTGTCCCACCGCTGTCCGGTTGACCTTTGATCAATAACACTCCCTCGATTTCTTATTTAGGTGTGTGTGCGTTTGTGTAATACGATTGCAATAAAAGTGAACTCTCAGCGCGAGCGAAAAACTAATATACACACGAACATTCCCGGGGCTATATAAACTCGAGTTGAAGACCACCGGAATGAACGGGAAAATCTATTTTCGACAGTCCAAACTAAACAATAAAAGCGATATTTACTATTTGGTGTTTGTTAAAGATACACAAAAGAAGATTTCAAATATAATAACTCAGTATTGAGTACACGTATAAGTATATAAATTTAAAAATTATAATTTTGCGGAGAAGGTAGATTCGGTATTTAATTATAGGGAAGAATTAATGTCTGTAAAAGTTTCCCTTGACGTCCCTTTCGTTAAACATAAAAATAAATATTCACTATATGTATCCCCCTCATTCATTGTGAAAAGCAGACCTAACTATTTTGTAAATATAAAATATTACATATAAATAAAAATGATCAATATTTTTTTGTTTTAATTTGATTTAAAACTGAATACAACTTGTAATTGAAATATAATACTTAAGTATGAGCGCTAGAAAAAAAAATCGTTTAATGGTACTCCGCACATTACACACGTTTCAAGTATATTTGAATGGTTATTGAAATAACAATTATGCGAAAGTGAAGGATGCAATGCTTTTGAACGTTAATAAAATGTTGATGTAATGTAATACAATTTTATCCCAAAATATGTTTATAACGTTTTTGAACTTTAATTTTTAATTTAATCATATAAACTTGAACATAGCTGTGTAATTAGCTAGGTTAAATATGTTTTCCTTAATCCCAATAATTAAAACTTGTTTGACACGGCACTGCGGCGAGGTTCAAACAAAATTACAAGTAACATTACAACTTCTTATTCTGACACGAAAATGCCAGGACATGGCATAAGTATAAATGATTAAAATTTGTATGAGCTATGACCAAATACAGTGTTTTTCGATTAAATACAAGACACAACATACAAAAAGTATTTTAAATACTTGTATTACAGATATTGTCCATCCCTGGATGTGGCATAATTAGAAAAGGAAGAATTCTACGATAATGTCCCAAGAAAAAGTTTATCGTAAAATGTGAATTAAGTAAAATGACATAATAAGGGTGGTCGACCTCAAATAGTTGGAATGAAGGCGAAGGAGAAGAATTTATTACATAATATAAAATAGTAGAAAATTAATTAACATTAGCAACCGCTTCAGCGAGATTTTTTTTTTTATTGACATACGTATAATTTAACGACTTACTTATATACTTTATGGACATTTTTGATTTCGAGTTTATTTTTGAAAGTTTATAGACATTTTTATCTAGATTCATATGAACTATTAACACGGTCGTATAACAAAGGAGGCAAAAAATGCCCGCGCCCCGGACGCAAAAGTAAGGAAATGAGAAAAATATTTTAAGAAAAAAATATAGGAAATCCCTATTTATTAATAAAAATCCAAAGTATAAAGTAACATAATAATTATAACTTAAGTTTAAGTCTACAAAGTTGGTTTGAAAATTAAGTACGATATTTAAAACAATAAACCGCGTTAATTTAGCTGTGCATTATAAAAGTTTAGCAATTGATAGCGTAACAAAAATATTTAAATAAATTTATTCAATCTATTCTGTTCTAATTTATTCTATTAAATTTTAAATCTATTAAAAAATATATAAAACCAGTATATTTAGGAATACAATATTTTATTCGAACAAGAATCTGCACTACATTGAATGTATGGTTACTACGGCCCTAACTATTGATACAAAACTATCAGCAGAAATTTACAACAAAAGGACAAGTAAAAAGTGCAAAGAGTTAAAAACATTTTAACTCACTTATAGATACGTCACTGACGAACATATCGCTAGGAATGCATTTTTTAAAAATTATTCTAAGGCTGAATTTTAATTAGTTTTTACAGGATTATATTACTGTGTTGCAGAGCTCGTGTACCATAGACGTCACGTACTTTCCATTCGATCAACAAACTTGCATAATGAAATTCGGCTCTTGGACATTTAACGGCGATCAAGTGTCATTAGCACTGTATAATGACAAACATTTCGTTGATCTCTCCGATTATTGGAAATCCGGTACATGGGACATAATAGAGGTAAATAATCATTTAAAATATTTAGCTGAATACATTTTTAAATAAACTAATTGAAAATGCACTAATACGTGTAATTTCCATAAATTATTTATGAGTAGAGGATGGATATTGCATGTTGAAGTGTCCTCTTTTTCAGTGTGAATTATGCGATTAGTTTAGGTGACTCCATTGTCCTATTTACTTGTGAATAGCGTGTATGACAATTCATACAAAAGTAAACATTATATAAAAGAGATAAGGTCTGTAACTAGTGCTGGGTTTATAAATGTTCATTAAAGGATTAACTAAGAGGTTCGTGACGTCATTTAGTGGTTCGTGATTAGTCCGTTAAATTTGAATGAACCATTCAATTTTTTTTTTTGCTGCTTTGTATAGATATAATTACAATATAAATAAGAGTAAAATGGGGAAAATATTAATTTTCGCAAAATAAATTTCTTCCTGAATTCAAAATAACTAAATTGTTTGACAATATTTTAGAGGATTTATACATATTGATGTTATACAAATACCTTTAATGTGTAAAATAATTGCTAATTGCTAAAGTTATAAGAGTTTAAAAGTTACGATGGGAGGGGAAGTGCGGTTGGGAAATGCGCGTAGATAAAAATAATACTACACTCTACCTTTCCTCCTGCCCTGAACTTGAAACTTCAATAACTTCAAAAATAGTTATCCAAAACTGGTTATCGACCAGTCAACATATTTAGTATATTATTCTCAATTTAAAAAGTTAATGAAATGTATGCGTTACCATTTAAGTTTCTAAAGTTGCTATCAAAAATCTAAGTTTGGAGGGGATTAAAAACAAAATGGTGAAAAATGATTAAGCCCAGTGAGATATTGAGTGGTTCACGATAAGTTTACACGCCAAATCCACTTGTTGTTGAATGTATGCCAATTTGGTGTGTTCCGAAAACCGATCCTTCGGCGTCTTTTGTTTCTCTTGTTTACATGTAATAATAATAATAATATTACGATTCTTGTGTTGCACAGGTACCGGCGTATTTAAACGTATACGAAGAAAAGCCCACGCAGACGGACATAACGTTCTACATTGTGATACGGAGGAAAACTCTGTTTTACACGGTCAACTTGATACTTCCAACAGTCCTCATATCTTTTCTGTGCGTGCTGGTGTTTTATTTGCCAGCTGAAGCCGGCGAGAAGGTTACGCTGGGCATCAGCATTTTACTGTCACTTGTCGTCTTCCTATTGCTTGTCTCCAAAATACTGCCACCTACTTCTCTAGTACTGCCGCTCATTGCCAAATACCTGTTATTCACGTTCATCATGAACACCGTCAGTATATTGGTCACCGTTATCATAATCAACTGGAATTTCAGAGGTACGGATACTTAAAATAAGCACTGTAAATTATACGAAGGGCACAGGGGAAAAACGGTAGTAGTCGTCACATTATGAAAAACAATTTTTAAATATTTTTTTTTCAATTTATGCCATTAAATTTTTGTATTTATGTCAATAGATTGTTTAAATAAATACATGTTATAATAGAATATCATTTAATGTGATTTTGTTTTTGTTTTTATGTAAGATGGAGAGGAATTCACGAACTTTGTTTTTGCTATACTCTAAAATTTTCATAATGTGACTACTACCGTTTTTCCCCTGTGCCCTTCATATAGTACCAGTTTGTCGCAGGAGGGTAACCTTCTCTCTGCCCAAATAATTGTCAATAAAAGCATCTAGAAAGCATTTAATCATACGATCATCAATCATTAGTAATCGCAATGTTAGATTTCAGTAATCATTAATCAGTATAAAAGAACAATAATAATTTAATCGTAATAACGATTACATTATTTTATGATTAAAAGTTACTTTATTTTCAATCATCGATAACTCTTACTATTATTTATATTATAAATCTTACTTGGTATATTGTTTTAAAATGACTACTACTCATATGAACTATTCATAAATAAATAAGTTATCATCTTAAATAAATATCAAGTACTAAGAGGTTCAACCTAATACATGAATAATATATACAAAGCCTTAGGGTGCTTAAAAAAATGTAATTATTAATTATATCATTAATACTGTCCATTGATACTTCGAGGACGGATCATATAAATATAGCCACAATCCATTACTCTTCTCTCCTTCCATGTGTATAACGCAGATAAGGCGCAGAAAGGTTGAACAATTTTAAACAAACGTGTTTTCTGAAACTTTCTCTGGCGATCAAAAAGTTTAGCCACGGGCGTTTGAGTGTATGCCAGGCAAATAATCATTCCCTTTGTTCACATTATCCTCATGCGCGTGACTTATTATGCCATCAATATGTAACATGCGTGCGCTTTTGCTATTTCCTAGTTCTGATAATCGTTTGTATACGATTTTTTTTCCCTTTAAGTCCTCTTCCTGTCCGCACTAAGTCCCTTTTGTACATATTTATATATATATATATATTTTTTTAAATAATAAATATATTATATTTGTGTGTGTGTGTGTGTGTGTACTTTACACAACCGCCGTTATCGTCTCTTGTTTTTCTTTACTTAGGCGGTCCTCGGGCAATGTGAAGGCACGTAGATGTCATAGGATTTGCGTGTCGTACAGTAAGACGCTCTCAATTTCATATAAAATATATGTGTATATATATATATATATATGTATATATATATATATATATATATATATGTATATATATATATATATATATGTATATATATATATATGTATAAATGACAAAATAATAATACAAGAGGAAGCCACCACGTCGGGCGGTTCTCTTGTCGGCCTATTTCTCGTCGATTTTAAATCGTGAAGTATGGTTTCACCCCCTCTCCCCCATTTGTCATTTTCCTCGCCTGTATCTCTTCTACTTCGAAATACAAAACTTTTACTATATTCTTTTCGCAATCGATAATTGACCGCCCTCCCGAATAGCGGACACGCTAGACAATACGTGGAAATTGAGGTCTATGCGGCGTTCGAAACGGAATAGAAGAACAATATATTATATGTATATATATATATATATATATATATTATATAACCGGAAAATGTAAAAGGAAAACGTTTATAAGATTACAATCTTCTATTTATATATATGATTCGGTATACGCCTTTATGTATTAGTCGGTATATCAACCTTTTATAAAAACGCGAACGATATTGAGCCAGAAAACACTCAATAAGATTATATAATTTCCCGTGTTTTCGTGTTAACACGAAACAACGAAATAGAGTTATGAAGATTTTCTACTTTTTTTCTTTGTACTACTATTCAAATTGATACAATGATAAGATTCGACCACTTAAATTTGGAAAAAAATTGTGTGAACAATTAACGTATAATACATTTTTAAAACGTTATTTAATTTTATTCTTAAAATGTTATACTTCTAAACAAAATATTTGTTTATTACAAATTATGTACAAGAATACCACAGAGCAAGACATATGTTCGTTAATTTGTATGTTTAATGTTATAGTACGTTCATAGGTTATTAGTTATTTCATTTATATTTTACCGTTTTTTATTTTTTTGTTTATTAATTGCGTTTTAGCAAAAATTTTCGTCATAGACGTTAAAGTTATAACGTTACTTTTAATTACAACCTTTGTATTCATTAAACAAGCTAGAAAATAAATGTGCGCCAACCGCTTAAAGTTTTAAACTTTAACTGACTAAAACCCAATGATTCAATGTATGTTTCCAATATTAAATTAAAACCTGCCCATTATTTACATAAAAATCCAAATAATAACTATTAAAAATAAAAATGGATTTGAATAAAAACTCAAATAATAAATGTATTTTTATCTTGTAAAAATAGTTTTGTATGTAAATCTTTTAAACTCGCGAATGATTAGCTTTTAAAATAAAAATTATACTTGCAATTTAGTCATATTGGTTAATGGTTTCCTTTAATAATGTGTTAAAATATTAATGAAATTATTTTTAAAAAATATACAGATAAAAATGTTTCATAATTGTTTTTAAAAAATGTTACTAGTACTTTTGGTTTTCACCGCTTTATTTGATTATAAATTTTAAATTAATTTTTACATAATTATTGTTATGTTATATCGTATGACATTGCTATATTACTGTACTTGGTACAGTGATTTCACAATAAATTAGTTTATACAATTTATAATTGGGTTTATACAAATGTAGTTTCTTATGGTGAAGAGGGTACTATTAAGAGGGAACCCCTTATTCTCGCATCTTTCTAATGGAATCGTTCAAAATATTTCAATGCTGACTTTGAATTTGCAAAAATTGTACGCTGCTCACAGCGTACAATGTATAGAATACATTTTAATCACTTTACGATGTTTTATTACCAAAATAATAAACTTATTAAGTTTTGCTAAATTTTTAACGAAAAAAAGATCACGAAGGGTAGGTGGACGAAGAACGCTAGGGTGGCAGTAACCATCATATAGTTCCACACATGCACTTTACCAGCAAAGTGCTTATAATATCTAAGCTAATTGAAAACTGCGCAACATTTTTAAAAATTGTATTTTGAAAATTACAACTGAATAAAAAGAAAATTGAAATAAAGGTGTCCGGTAAAGTTTATCCTTTTAGTATAGGATTAATTGAATATAAGTAAATTATTTTTAAAAAACAATTTATAGCGAGTTCTAATTTTTAAAGAAAATTATTACTTTAAAAAGCCTGGTTTACACTTTACGTGCAAAATAGATTTTTTTAGATTTGCGGTTACAAAAGAGTTGTCATTTTCGTAACCATAAATTATAATCATGATCATCACAGGTACTACTACTACTAGCACAAGTCAACAGCGAAGTCAGTAAATAACATGTACTGTCCCGGCCCCGGGTGTTGTTGCTGTATCGGGGTAAAAACAGTGGTTAGGTACTCCTTAAAATTCTCATTTGATAATTTGAAAACAAATTTACCAATTATTACATTTAGAATATTTGGGGCCTTATCCTTAACGAATAGTATTCACATAGTATGTATAATATGGTGTATCTACTGTCTGCAGGCCCGCGAACTCATCGTATGCCGCCTTGGATTAGGTCTGTGTTCCTGTCCTACTTGCCGGCGATAATGTTCATGAAGCGGCCTAAGAAAACGCGACTGAGATGGATGATGGAAATGCCGGGCATGAGCGGACCACCTCACCCTCATCATACTTCACCGTCGGACCTGCCTGCGCCCGCCCCACCGTGTTCCGCCACTCCGTCCAAGCACAAGATGGAGGTGATGGAGTTGGCTGATTTGCACCACCCCAACTGCAAGATCAACCGGAAAGCGAGCGCAGAACGGCGGGAGAGCGAGTGCTCCGACACACTGCTGTTATCCCCAGAGGCGTCCAAAGCTACGGAAGCGGTCGAGTTCATTGCAGAACATTTGAGAAACGAAGACCAGTACATACAGGTAATTAACTTATAGCTATAGTTAGCGATGATGAGCATTACCTAGATTCAAACATCCCTAGTCTCCTGCCCATCCCTTCTCTGTCTACGTCAATAAATTTGAGATTGACTCTTTAAAGTTTAAACTTATACGACACGAAATTGGTTTTATATACTATATAGCATACAAATAAATTAAAAATAGAACATGGGTACGTGGCATGGGCGTATTTATGGGAGGGTGCGGAGGCTGAGGTGGCTGATGAAAGTATGTACATAGTACATACGATTTTATTACGGAAGTTTTACCAAATTTTTAGGTTTATTTCGGATATCAGAACTCAGAAATAACTGCTTATTTACTCAATGCCTCAGTCCCCCCCCCTCCCCAAATATTCAAAATAACCATATTTAAAAGTTAATTTACAAACAGTCCTATATTGTTTATTTCATCGCACCATCTGTTTTTGTAATTTTTTTTAACAAACATTATTCTTTTTCTTTTTTTGTTCTTTAAAAATGTTTTCTAACTTATTACAGCAATAATAGTAATTTATTACAATAGTTAAAACTTTTCCCTGGCTCCTTTTGGATTACCCAGTATTTGCGCAGAAGTTTTCATCTTTATTTCACAATATTAAAAAAATTTCTTATTATTTGCTATATGCACATGTGCCATGTACTTGTACTTGACTCGTTATGGAATGTACACATAACGTAAGTAACTAACGATAAAGTTGCTGAATAATGCAAATTTCAGATCGTGTGGATAAAAAAACACCTGAGATACTTCACTAATAAAAAGTTGTTTGGATGTTATTAATTTTGTTAAAGTGCGTAGATTGGATAGAAATTTACTAATTTTTTAACATTACGTACAATTAATATACGAGTGAAAAATTCCTTATGTTATAACAAAAGTCGTGCTAATTTGTTACTATAATATGAATAATTAAACTTTTTTGTCCTTGTAGATAAGAGAAGACTGGAAATATGTCGCAATGGTTATTGATCGATTACAGTTGTACCTGTTTTTTATAGTAACCACAGCCGGTACTCTCGGTATACTAATGGACGCTCCACACATATTCGAAACTGTCGATCAAGACAAAATCATCCAGATCTACGGTGGAAAATAAACAATTACAAAAAAAAAAAAATTAATAAATGAGATAACCATATAGATGAAAATGCTCAAGTTAGAACTAATTTGCTTCCTTCAAATTATTTGAAATTATTATTATTATTATTATTATCATAAAGCGATTATTATACTTAATATATAATAAAAATTAAGAATTTTAAAAAACCCAATAATTTTTTATTAATATTTAATATACTAAAAAACCCTACTGTTTCCAAAGTTTTGTTATATATATATTATATAAAAATAATAATAATAATAATAATAATTATAATAATATAAATGCTAAAATACTAGTTAATGTTAAGTGCCAACAAATAATTTTAAATGTTATTTATTATTATCATATTGTGTACAATTTTAACAAAATCTAAAAATAAAAATAATTAATTTTTTTTAGATTAGTATTTAAGTTGAAAAAAGACTATTATTAGTAGTCCTTAGCGAAAATGTCTCGAACGTCTGTAAACAATTACAGTATTTTATTATTAATTAATAATTATCAATTCCGCAATTTATCAATATTACAAATGTGCTCAAATTTAAAGTTTTTTTAAATTGCAATTCACAATAAAATAGTACCACAAGCTTTGGGTCAAATATTTTATTATTGCCGTCCGAAACTCTCATCCCTAAAAATTGCTGTTGTGACTAGCTAAAGTCCCACCACCGCCGTACTACCATTTCCATAGACTGCTATGGTATTTTTGTTGTTTTGTGGACGATATGAATTACTCATTTGTGTATCGTAGGCGAATACTTGAGAATTATGAGGGAAAGAGACGTAATGCATATTTTAATGATTTACTATTGTCGACTACTACCTACAATATTGGTCTGTATTCGTATGACTTTAGCCATCGAAGAAACAAGCAGGGAATATCCTTTGTTTTTGCCCAATTAACTTTTTTTTATCAATTTCAAAACCGGCAAAAAATATTATTTCAGTGATAAATTTAGAAATTTAAATTTTATAGAAATTAATTTTACAAATTACAATCGTTATCATTCAATATTGTTATGATCACGGCCTTAGAAGATACGACGGGCCTATCTTCTAAGGCCGTGGTTATGATAATGCTGTTTCCCACTGATATATCCATAAATCATAATGAACACAGTACTTAGTAAACGAATTCCAACGGCGCCCAAATGATACTAGAACCTAACCGATCAATAATTTTGAACTAATTTTCAAAACAAAATACATACCTGATCAAAATGCTATAAATGCTTTTAGCTCAGTATACCTTCTGTAGACTGTATACAAATTGTAGTAAATATTTTTTTTTAATCGAACGAACCCAATATATAATTGTAAATGTGGACAAATGTTTTTTTCATTTAAAAAAAAAAAAATACACCAAGTCGCTTTATAAGGAAAAAAGTAGGGGAAACGATTAAACCGATTTTCCCTTCTTGTTTTTTCTATACCGTGCCTTAAGTTTATCAACTAGATAGGGTTATATAAGAAATATCTAAGTAAACAAACAATGTCATCTCAATAATTACGCCCGTCAATGTGTTAAAAACAAAATAAAATAATTTCTAAAAAGTCGCTGTTAACTAAAACGAAAACAAAAATGTTAGAAAATACAAATTTTTGCTCAAATTTGCCGTATAAATAAATGGCCGGAAATGATTAATTTTTCGTTTTCAGACAATATCGAGTATTAAAAAACAATAAAGTTGATTAATGTTATTATACTTAAATGTTTAATACGCATATTATTAATGTTGTTTTTATATACAACAATAATATGTCTTTCAACTTCGCTCAAATATTTTTTTCTTGATGTTAAACTATGGGTGATGATATTATGAATAGATTATTACAATAGGATAATATACGGGACGTCCGAGACATGTTCGTCGAATTTTTTTTGACTACCAACGGTTGATGTAAATAACTATTAAGTATTATTATTATTATTGTTATATTATGTGTAATTTTTTTATATATAAATATATACCGAGTTTGTCCCTTAAAAAAATATTGCTATTTTGAAGATTCCTAGGTGGGGCTTAGATCGTTAAGTGGAAAATATTATGTTATACTTGCGCGGTAAAAGGTAATGTCGTTTTTTTCTAAAATGTTTAAATCGTACGGAATAACAAGATGCGATAATAGTCGACCGACAAAAACGATTTGAGTGTATCTAATACAATTGTTAAAGAATACCGTTCCTGTATAGCATAAAAGCCGTGGCGCGAACTAGGGCTCAACATGGGGCGGTGGTCATGTCAACACGTTTTGCGTTTAGCTGGCCCTACTTCATGTGGTTAGCGCCACTGCTTAGTATATATTATAAAAATAATATTATACAAATACCCAATAATTTATTCTAATCATTTATTGTTATATTATTATTACATAACTATAGTGTGCACTAACGGCATACGGCTCACGTTAGTTGTATACTAGAATTTAGTCTAATATATTATTGTTTTAATAAGTGCGAGTAAATACAATTATTTGAATGAATAATGATAATTTGTTTTTGTTTTATGTGTAGTGTGTGTCGCAAAATTTTGATGTACGTACAATTTTGTTACTGCGTTTTAATATTTATATTATAAGAATGTTACGACCCTAGGAGGGGAACTTTTCTTTTTTTTTTTTAAGTATATTGTATAAAAATAATAAATATAGTTAAGTATCATGGAAGATATAATACAACACAGCTGTTACAATCATCCGTGTACACAATAATTATTGTTTAATTACAAACAAATAAATAAATAAGAAATTCAGACAATCTCATCCATTATGTTATGTAAAGTTTTTTTGTATTATTAACTGTTTACGTTGGTTAGTGAATAATTTTTCTTACTTTATTTTAATTAATCGTTAAGTTAAAACTACAAAAAAAAAAATTACAAAATAACAAACAAAATTTTAACAATATTAGAGACCAAAATAAAATTTCTAATAACAGTTTCGGCTTAGTATTTTATTTTATTTCTGTCATTATTTTATTAGTTTATCGATATATATAATATATAAATTATGTATATTTTATACAGCAACGAAATAGATATTAATGAATAATATAATTTATGAAGTTTGGTTTTTGTTTCTACCTAGTTTATTTGTTATTAATTTATTATATAATTGTTAAAAATAAAAAAAGTCTGGTATTATAAAGATATAGATTAATTTTATAGTGAATCGTGTGAAATAAACAAAACTCATGAATTCGAAGCATCACTAAAATATTGATCCATAAAACCAATTTTTGTACATGTATAACTAATAAAATAGAAAACTTAAATTATTTTTCGCAATTTTACTAAACTAAAACAAAAATTAAACGTCTGAACAAAATGTGTTGTGAAGCAGAATGAAATTTAATTAAGTCCTATATTATAAATGTAAATACATATACGTATGTATTTATACATACCTACATAAATTTGTAAACGTTTTAAAATAAATTATAGCCAAATAAATTAAACAAATTTATTGCTTGAAATTGAAATGCTGTTTTATTTATCTCCATAATGTCATTCAATTAAACTTTAGTTGTTGAGCAATCTCGAAGAGGCCATTTTATCATTAGCGTTCTAAATGATATTTGAAAAAAATTGAAATACTTTTTAGCTTTGCTTCAAATATAAATTAGATATTGGCTTTAATTTTATAATATTATAAAATCATTAGTTTTGGTAAATGCCAGTTCAAATTTAACAGAGTATTTTTATATTGTTTTTAAAAACACACTTAAGTTACCAAAACATAGTATTTGTTATATAACATCAAGAGGACATTTATACAGTCTAGAAACTCAATGCAAAATCTAAGTTTGTATTATTTTTTTAGGAAGAAAAATAAGAGTAGTATTTGGTTTTTTATTGCAAAAACCTCGCTGTGCAGTGCAATTACTAATTACATAATTAGTATACATAATATTTTCCATTATCAATTTATTACATTTTATGTAACTGCTGTTCAGTATAACCATATGTTAGTTAAAAATAAATAGTAAATAAGTAATAAAAAATATTAGTTGGAACTACTTTAATAAACTAATTAACATTTTAGTATGAGTATTTATTGATTTAGTTATATAAATTGATGAATAAAAAAAAATATAGCAAATTTTATTTATTTAAAGGTCTATTCTTATTCAACATGTTTCAACTGAAGAAATTTCAATCTCACTTCGAGATATATTGTTACGCTCTTGTTCTTCTCGAGCCCTTATCTTAGCTTGTCGTCTTTCTTCAGCCAGCATTCTATTACGCATCATCCTTTGTCTTTGCTCTTCCGTTAAACCGGAATTAGTTACACTTGGAGTGGAAGTCACCGGGAAAATATCAACAGTGTTAGCAATTCTATCAAATGGATCCTGCTGTACAGGTGCTTCAGGTATCTCATCTTCTACTTGCGTAACAGTTTCATTGTTATCCATATCCATCCGAATACGCTTGAGCATCACCTTAACTTCATTTTTTTTCCCCAATTTTTCTAGTTTATCAATGGCATCATCAAATGTATATCTCGGAAAAAGTCTATGGGTCCATTGTTCGAGACGATTCATAACAGCATTAAGATCTTCAAGTTCATGCCCTTTACCTTTCAGTTGAATGTCCTCGAACCATGTTTGGAGTACAGACAAACCACGTGGACCACGTAATCTATAACAAATTATAAATTAAAATGTTGATACATGTTTCAATCAGTTATATTTTATAAATGTGCACTGATCTACCTTGCGGGGTCCAATTTAGGTTGTGGGTTCCTGACACGAACTTTGACTGGGACGATTCTTTTTTCATCTGAATCTTTGCTTTCTGGGACTTCTGCAAAAAAATAAATAGTTATTATTCCCTTGTATTATAACAAGTAAATAGTTTACTATTATGTTTGTATGAAGTTAAAACATTTTTAAACTAAACTGTTTAAAATATTTTTTACCGGTTTAAAATTTTGGAATTACCTACCAAGTGCGAGGGTTTTATTTTTCAAAACAGTTATACAAATCAACTGTTTATTTTTTAAATATTTTAGTACTTAAAATAAACTAAGTTTTTGATTATAACTGCTTTAACACATTTTATAGCGTTATTAAACATTTTTTTAAAAATTATTTATTTGGCTCTCTTGACCATGAGTAGGATGTTTTTAGGACTAGTTCGGCCACTTCTAAAGATGGGAGTGTCTCTTTACTAAATAGTTGCCTAGCCGCCACCAAATCAGTGACCGAGTACCAATCCAATAAATGTGAGTGCTTAGTCAATGCGCCCTTAACCACTCATCTTTCCTATTTTTCAATGCATAACAATACTTATTGGTTAATTATGTTAGTAATTTTATTAAATTTAGGTAACCTTCAGCTTCTTCAATGGCTTCTGGAACTAAAGCTTCCAAGTCATTGTCCTCGTCGCCAAAACGATCGACCCACTTATCCAAGTCGTTGTCATCATAATCTGCCATTTTGCTAATAACTAACAATTAATCACTAAAAACTTCTGTTTTTTCGTCGCCTTCAGCGTCGTCTTCGCCACTTTGGTCTTCTTTGTTCAAACGATTCAAATAAGCGCACAACAAATATTTGTTTAAATGGTCGGTCAACGATGGTTCATCAGCAGCTTGTTCTAGTATGTTTTCCTCCTGATCGTTACTCGGTTTTCCAGGCATTGCAGTTTTACATTTAAAAACAAAAGATTACAACTTTCGCGGGAACTTAAAACTTTTAATAAAATGTTTTAACAAATTTCTATTAATTTTCGGTTAGGTTAATATGATAATAGATATGGTAAAAATTATAACTTTTAAAAAAAAATGACAACTGCTTAAAATGTAAAATGGCTCGTTTTAAAGATAATAAGGACCATAGTGGTAAAGATACAGAATATATTCCTACTCCAACTTCAACCTAATCAAACAATTACTATGATAAGAAAAAAAACCTTTCCCGCTAATATTAAAAATTAAAATTGTGATAACGTTCATCGTAATCGTTGACACTTGGCATTCAGCATTCTAAAACCTTTTAGTATTTACCAATTATTACTATTAATATAATAATAAAAAAAATCATAAGTAAATATGTTACCGTCATTAAAATGCAATTTGTACACTACAACCATATTTTTTATTTTGATATTATAGACAGTGTTGATATATAAATAACAGTATAAAATCTGCTGGTGTCTATTTGATTGCTACAGCCAGTAATACACACGTATACTGTATTGTACCATTAGAGTGTTATATTTCACAATGAGAAGAAGTCATGCACCTTCCAAACAATTCCCATTCGTACCCAAAGAGGATATTGGTATGTAATGAGCAGTATAATATTTGTTATATGTATGTTTCAATTTTTTCATAAAATAATAATCGTTTAGAGAAGAATAGAAATCTAGGTATAAATGCACTTAATGAACTCCTTTTTTTTTTTTGACATCTTGTAGTGTTTTTTACCCTGATTGTGTCATCATCCAGTTGTAGTGAGCTGCAAATGGTCAATGATGCAAAACAAAGACATCAACAAAGGCAATAACATTTGTATTATAACAAGTATATTTTCTGTTCATCTAACATAGTTTTGTCGGGTTAATTGGCAAATGTCATCGATTTAAGATGATTATGTATTAGGGGAGAAGAAAACAGTAACAAAAATATATTGAACAGCCGATTTCAAAAAATAAATAATTGTCTAATTAAATTTAGGATGGTGTTAAACAATGCAGTTCATTTTTCTAAAACAATAGTTTTAAAGCCATAATCATCTAACAGTGTTAGGACAACTAAAAATTTTAGGCCAAAACCTCTTCTTTATAATCTGTTAGATGGGACTTTTAAACTAACCAAGTTTTGTTTAACAATCTTTATTTTTATTTTTAGATAAAGGCGTAAAAGTAGTACGCACACCATCGGAAATTCTTGCCCTTATTAACTCCTGTGGCAGTTCTGAACCTAAACCTGACAGTACTCAGAAGTTTGACAATTTTGATCTTGACTTTGATGAACCTACCATATCGCCGGTTAAGCCTGTGCTGGAACAGAAAGAACTTCATCAATCGGACAACAAAGTTATTTTTGATTCTACGGATGTCGATAACTTTGTTTCGAATAACATTAAGTTGCCTTCAATACACAATAAGGCTATTATAAATTGTAACAAACCATCTCTATCTCATGATAATCATTCAGAAAATCATTCCAATACATCACTACCGACAATTCCTGTTAACGTTTTACAAAATGCTGCAAAGAGAAAATTGAAACCTTTAGCTCCAAGGACATTTAAACCTTTAGCTCAAATAGCTGCTCATGTGTCTACATCAAAATGTCAAGAAGAAAATAAGAACAAAGCGAACAGTCAGTCAACCAACGTACAAAACGCTAAGTTAGTTTTTCAATTTCATTAATATTCAATGTATTTCATTATGTTTGTACAATGTTTTATTAGGTACAATGTTACGTGGGGCAAACAGACGCAAAAGAAACACAAGACTTGGGAGGGAGATGGATACTTAATTGTTGAAGAAAAACTTGCTGTCCTCACTGTATACTTACTATTGAAAATATTAAATGTTTTATTGTATATACTTATTTTTATTTTGTTTTTTAGGATATTGAAGGTAGACGACTGGGCAGTACTACTAATTTGAAACTTTCAGACTTAGAAGACGGTTCAATTATTTCTGTTGGTAGTAAATTAGTACAAGTTTTAGATTTGGTGGAAAAATCAAAAAGTAATCAAGTTAAAACACTGGTCGAGCCTGTGTGTTCGTCAATTCCTCGAAAAAAACCTAAATTGTCTTTAGATATTGCTAGTTCTCCCGACGCATTAGTCATGCCTGAACCTGACATAGACCATCAAGTACGGTTAAACTGTTTATTGTTAATACTTACTAATACTAAACTAATATTACTTGTACATTATTTTTTATTTAAAAATAAAAGTATGTATTCAATAAATATAAACAAGAAGTCACTCCAGTAGCGCTCGAATCATTCTTAGCAAAATGTTTGAGGCCACACCAACGAGAAGGAATAATATTTTTATACTGTTGTGTTGTTGGGCTAAAACATCCTGATTACTTTGGTGCTATACTTGCTGACGAAATGGGCCTCGGCAAGACGATCCAAACCATATCATTGATATGGTGCGTTCAATAATATTGTCTGTGTCGGTCGTGTAGCTTACTTATTGGAATTTGTTAACGGCACAGGATGTTACTCAAACGCGGACCTTATGGTGGAGAACCGTTAGTCAAAAGAGTATTGATAGTTACACCGAGTAGTTTAGTTGGCAATTGGCAAAATGAATTTGTTAGGTGGCTGGGACGAGATAGACTAAGGCTTTTTGTTATTGATCAAGTGAGTGCTTAAAGTGTATTTCTTACACTACTTTATAAATGTATTCATGTCTTTTTACATTTTACAAATTTAGAAAAGAAAACCTTCGGAATTCTTGCAATTGCCAGCCAGGAATTATCCAGTTTTGATAATATCGTATGATATGTTAATTCGTTATATTGAGGACATTGAAAAAATAGGTTTTGATTTAATAGTTTGTGACGAGGGACACAGGTTAAAGAATAATGCTATAAGAACATCAACGGCCTTAAACCAATTGCGATGTAAACGACGCATATTGTTGACTGGAACCCCTATACAGAACGAGTTGCAGGAATTTTTTGCGCTTGTTGATTTTGTGAATCCTGGAATTTTGGGAACTTATTCTAGTAATTATATGACACATTTTAAATCTATTGTATTTTCAATTGTAAATGTGTAAAAATCATTAAATGTTGGTTATAGTTTAGTCGTGCAAAGTTATTTATAAATAATTTTTTATTCTGTATAATTATTTGATTACCAATTTATTAAATAGCGCACATTTCTGGTTATAGTGTTTAAACGAGAGTTTGAAGATAAGATTGTCGAATCTCAACAGCCGGAATGTCACCCTCAACAAATGGCTGTTGGTAGACAAAAAGTAACCGAACTCAATGAAGTAACAGAAAAATTTATTTTGCGAAGAACATCGGACATCAACAACAAATATTTGCCTACGAAATACGAGTCTGTAGTGTTTTGTTCTATGTCATTATTTCAGGTAACTAATAAGCTGTATATAATTTAAAAGTCAGATAATTAATTTTTGGGAATGTGTTTTATATAGTCACGTTTGTACGAAGAAGCGGTGTCTTTTTGGGAAAATCGCGTTCAAGAATATGGTATGAGCACTATTTCTCATTTCAGCGTAATAACAACATTAAAGAAAATATGTAATCATCCAGATATAGCTTTAAACAATAAAGGCATTAGTGATACGACCGAAGTATGTAGTGATCCATTATTTATCTGTATTTGTGTATTTCTATTAGTTAAGTAATCATATGTTGTGAAAAATAAATTTAGGAGACCATGAGTCAGCACTTGAATAAAATTATATCTTCTAGAACTTCGTTAACCGAAAGCTCTGGTAAACTCATTGTAATTGATAACTTACTAAAGCAACTGCACAGAAAAGGCTCGGAAAAAACTGTTTTGGTGTCTTATTATACTCAGGTTTGTTTTTACTTGTAATTTGTAGATTATTTTAATTCATTCATTTTGATATTTTAGACTCTAGATGTGTTTGTTAAATTGTGTAATTTAAGAAGTTATAAATACTTAAGACTCGATGGATCCACGATCACTTCTCAGCGAACAGATATGGTCAAGAAATTTAACAGCTCTAGCTCAGAATACAGTAATAGTTTTCAAATCATAGCTTAATTTTAAATAATATATGTATTTGTTGGTAGCTATTTTATTATTAAGTGCAAAAGCGGGAGGTGTAGGTTTAAACCTCATCGGTGCTTCGAGATTAGTGTTATACGACTCTGATTGGAATCCCGCATCAGATCAACAGGCCATGGCACGTATTTGGCGAGATGGACAAACCAAAAATGTACACATTTATAGGCTACTTACTTGTGGTACTATCGAAGAAAAGATATTTCAAAGACAAATTAGCAAGACGGGTCTAAGTGAAGCTATTACGAATCCGGAAAGCCAGAACAACACAAGATTGTCGTACGACCAACTTAGAGTATGTTTAAGAAGCTTACACTATTTGGTGATTGACTCAATATATCTCACTAATATTTGTAACTTATTATTATAGGATTTATTTAGTTATCAAAAAGACACATCGAGCTTGACCCATGATTTACTAGAGTGTGATTGTAACGGTAGTGGCCAAGTGCCAGGCAATATTATCCAAGATGATTGCGACAATGAAAAATCTGAAGCTCCGTTGCGTGTCAATCAACTGATGCAGTGGGAACATCATTCATCACCTTTCCGTGCAGGTGTTTTAGAGGTTAGTTCAATTAAACAACGGGAATTAATGGATATTTGAATAATATTTAAGTTATAAGTATTTGAAATACTTATTTGATTTAGATTTTCTTATTCAGTTTTTAACTTTTTGACAATTTTTTCAGCACATGTTTTTAATCTAGGTTCTAGATAAATAACTACAAATTGTAACTCAAATGAGTTTTGGTAAAACTATGGTAAACAGCTTTTGTTAAAATTTGAATATTTGTGGTCCGAACCCTAGTTATATTTAAACATTGCCCTTATATCCTTATATTAAAGATAAGAAATATGTTATATTTTTAATACTACCGACATACGTACTGTATAATTTTAAATACAGTTAGTATGATTGCCGGCGATCATAGGGAGGTTTAAATGTAGAATAAATAAAAAATATATAATAATAACTTCAAAAAAAAATTAAAATAGCTATTTTTATCATTAGTTTTTTTAATGTTGACTGGTTGAACAAGTTTTGAATAAATACTTTTGATGATATAGCATTTAATTTAAATATAAGCATTTAGTGTTCAAAATATCTCATACATGAGTTATTAGTCCGATCTAAGTTTCGTACATTTGTTTAATTTTCTTAAGTTAGTTTCAAAATGAGTTTTTTAAAACTTATTTCCTTTTTGAATTCAGAACTCTGGGTACTTTTACTCTTAAACCAAAATTAAGCGAGTTATTTTTAGTCTGCTAAAACGTGTAAAGATGAAAAAACATTTTTAAATCGCTTTCAAGGATGCTGTAATAGTCAAAAAAATAAATTAACTACCAAAATAGAGTTCTAGTTATTGAACTAATAATTACATATCACAGTTTAACCTTTAAATTAGGATTTTGTAAAAAATTGCCTATGCTTTATTCCTTAAAAATGGGCAGTGCGACGCCCTCTTAAATTAAGTTTTTAGGAAGAGTCAACGTAATATTTTAGGTAGGCATTTTTCGTTTTTTTTTTGTTTCAGTTAAGTACACGCTAAAAAAAAAATAATGAAAATGATGATGACTGCGTTCTGTTTTAGTTGTACAGTGTATCAGTAATTTATAAAGAGGGCTGTTAAGTGTATTTTCACGATATCGTTTAATGTAATCAAGTGCACGAGCATCCAGTCAATCATTGTTCATGTCTTAACTTAATAATGAACCGTTTCGGTTAGCCCGTCCGGTTTGATAATCGGATCGCGTGCACGACAACTACGAATAATAATAGCTTTTAACATAATTTTATACTAATAATAATGGTGTAAGCACTGGCTTACTTAATATCGGTGCCCCAATTGAAAAAATAAAAGTAGGGTGATGTTTTTACTTTAAGAGGGGGGGGGGGGTTGGGTATTAAAAATTTTGTTTTTTTTTTTTTTAACTTTAAAGCGTTTTTCCCACAACTCACGTTTTCAAAGTCGGTGACCACCATAACTTCAAAACTACTACACCGATCCTTTTGAAATTTTGGACACTATTTCAGTACATAACTAACAAGGTAACGCTGGAGAGATTTTTTCAAATTTATTAATATTTTTTATTTTACAATAACAAATTAGCCGATTTTTTTCGCAAAAATCGCGTTTTTCTCTTCAAAGTGTTTCCAAAAAGTGAAAAATTGAAGTTTCAAAAAACCCTCCCAGCGTTACCTGGGGAAAGCAATTATCTAACGAAAGAACTTGATTTTTTTAATTTCGGATGATCCAGCATCGAGTTATGAGGGGCACCGCAATTCTAGTTTTTTCCGAGACGCTTCCGAATAATTGCCGTATTTTTTAATATTTCTACATGAAAATATTACACAATATTCTTCGAATGTTATACTTTAATGTACCATTAGTTTTAATAAACAGATTTTAACTATGTCGTCAAAAAAAATTCACAAAAATTTGCCGTTTTTTGCACGAATTAACCATAGCCCCCCCCCCCCCTTAAATAAAACAGCGTACTTGTCATTTTTTTACCCTTAAAAAAACCACGACTTTTAAAAATTAGTTGGGGTAAGCTACAATTTCTGAAAGAATAGCCAGGGTACTCAGTCTTCCCGCGTCCTCTGTCCCCCTTCCCCCAGATTCGAGCACTGCCTAATGATATTTAACAGCGAGATAGAAAAGAAACCTCAAGTTGTACAGAGAACACGTGACCGAAATGACACGTGAGTACGCTTTGTAGCATATCGATTATTTTTCAAGGAGCATTATTAAATTTATTTTATTTTTTACCAAACCGAACGGACACAGATGCCGTTAAATTTAATTAATTTAGTTTTCACTCCATCAAATTATTTACTAATCATGTTAATAGAATTCTTTATTACATTTAAATTGTAGGGCGTTATTATTTTATCAGATGAACTACTTAACTCGTGGACGTATCGGTCGTACATAATAATTTGTAATCATACACTTTCGACCCGTTAATTGAATGTTTTAAATATAAGGTCCATAATAATATACTATAAAAAAAATGTCCTTGGAATATTTTAAGAGTACACTTAGGGAATAAATCGTTATGAAGATGTGTTTATAAAAGTGCAATCGTGCGGACTCGACTGAGTTAATATATTTTTTAAATTAATACATTTTGGCATAGATAAAACTTGCTGTAATAGTCACTTCAACCGAGGCAAACGTATTGCAAACGTATGAAAATAATGCCAGTGCTATTATAATTATATACATGGTAAAGCGGACAAATAAACTTCTAATATTTGTCTTATTATGACTTAACATGTTACTGTTAAGGTGTTTTCGAGTGAAGTACAAAAAAAAACAGCTAAGCAGACATATAATAAATAATTCAAAACGTACTCAACCATAAGAGAGGGTAACAAAACATTTACAAAATGTATGAGTTATATTTAAAAAAATATAAATCTACCTACCTGTTCTCTTAAAAAAATTTAATTTAAATACAAATTATAGATAACATCGAATGTTTTCATTATGTCAATTTGTTTTCTATAATGCTAATATATTTTTTTAACACTACTGACGTTGTGTAATGTATAAAAATCGTTGCTCTTAGATAACATTTTAGTGGCGAGAGTAAAGAGGATACAAGTTAATACATTTTTAATGAAGAACAAAGTAAAATTTGTATTTTCAATTTGATCTTATGTTTGAAGTTTGTTAGGTTTTTTCAATATTTTCTTTGAATAGTGAAGAAAAATGATAAAAACAAGTGAAAGAAAAAAAAAAGAAAATCAAAGTTTTTGAAAAATGCACAATTGATTAGTTTTACTTAATTTTATTTTTCAGAATTGTTAAATTTATTTTACGTAAACATTTTAATTGTACATTCGTTTTTTCCAATCCATTGATTATGAATTTAATAGTTATTTTATTCCCACATATTATGTCTGATTATTTCTGTTTTATGTTTTGATTTACAGTCGATGGACCTAACTGGCATTTCACCGACTATCCGTTTTCTGTTCAGACACAAAACAAATTAATATTTTTCAATTAGATACAATTAGATGTATGTATACTTTCGTTGATTTGTGTGTCTTTAAAAATGTTCCAATACTTATACTCGTTTTATACTAATTTCTCATTTATGTTTTTAAGATTAATCTTGTTGGATTTTTTTATTTTATGTACAAATAATATTAAATTTATAATAATAAAAAAAAACCTATAACTACTTTAGTACTATTGTTTGACCTGTGTAAAAATTAGTCTTCACCGGCAGACATGGAATATTCTAGTAACTGGTGGTAGCGATATCCAAAAAGATGTTGGCAAACACAAATTACAAGTAAATTAGTGTCATGTAAGTACAATTATAATTGAGATAAGGCCTTATGAATAAGATCTATGTAATATTTGTAGCAACGCTAAATTGCCGCATTACACTAACCCTTGGCACGTAAGCTACCTTCTTTTCGTCTAAACTTGGCACGATTACAAAAAATTGAATCCATATGTGCTAATTTAATTACACGATTCCAGTGTTTTAAAAATGGTATAACATACAGTTATACACATTACTTAATCATTAGCACTTACATCTGCAATATTTAAGATAATAATAGTTTTTTATATAGTCAGTAAGTGTATATAAAAAAACAATTATATATATTGTTGAAGAACAACATTTGTTTATTTGTATTGTATTAATTCTTAACAACTAATATACATAATAATAATAGGGTTAACAGACTTAATATGTATGTATAATATTTTTTATAAAAAACGTCTTGTACAAATATTACACGTTTTAAAAATATATCTTTCACAAATAAATTCAACCATATTACACACAATAAATATTATTACTTATAAATTAATACTGATTTTTTGCTTATAACTATAAAACCCTTAAAACGACGATTTTTTTGTGGAGGGTGGGGAGTTAAATATTAGTCTACATAACACGATTTACATCTAATTCGTATATAATATTATAACGGGGTTTCTAACTTAAGAGTTTTTTTACAAAACATGTTTATGTGTTTATGTTTTATTGCATATGCCATACATTATTAATTATTATCTATAGAAAATACTGACGAAACAACGTTTGACGTTTTTGACACTTGTGTAATTAAAAAAAAAACACAATAAATATAAATAATATATTATAGACTATAGTTAATATGGCACTTGTATTATTTTTTTTACAAATTAAAAAAACTCAGCGTAAGTGTAAACTATTTTACAAAAAACAAAAAAAAACAATACCTCCAAACTTTACTACTTCAGTCAGGAAAAATACTTATATAAAATCCATTAAGGGTTTTACTATAATAGTAATATAATGATTAGTATAGTTGTAATATGCGCCCCTAGTCTATCTCCCTCGCCTTTTTCAGATTGACTATAATAAATGTACAAAAAACGACCAAGTCGCTATCAAAGCAGACACGTTACTATAGGCATTCGAGTAATTTTCATTTAAATTATTATTTGATTAAACGGTTGTTCGAATATTTGTGTTGCTAGTTTATTTGAACAACTGTCCTTGTGGTTAATTAAAATAAAGATAGTACTTGAATAATTTCTGTTGAGAGTTTTTTCGACTACAAATTTTGCTCAAATCTGTGTATAGGACTTGGAAGTCTTGATTATAAGTCTATCGCATCTCTCCGGCTCTCACTCTGCCCCTTCTAGAAGGGTCGTAGATTACCAATTATAACTAAAATCAAAACGAAAGCGTCACGAACAATAATAGTAGTTTTTCCTACGCAGTAGGTATTTCTGAGTTCTTTAATGTTAACAGGAGCTATAGTACGATAAAATTCCTATGTTGTGTTCGGGTTAGAGTCTGAATCTGTACACAGATCACAGTCCAAACACCTAGCTTGCAAGTTGCACGTCCGAATAGAGCATATCAGTGTAATTATTTTGCAAGTCGATGCAATGCGTATTATTAAAATAGTTTATGATATACGCGTGTGACCCGATGTCTGTGTGTAAAAATGTAATCGATACTTTCTTCCCTCCTCGCTTTTACTCTGCCCTTACCCCGACCGAAGTCCAGCCGAAGACGTCACGTTGTTGGTGTCCCCCCCCCCTCCCTACAAGAGTCTTATCGATAATATTATTAGCGTGTATTCAGTGTACAGTAATTATTATAATAGGTTACATCGAGCGCACTGTACAGTTTTTTGTCACGACACCGACTGTAAACAATATAGGTAGGTATTTGTATTGGGTTCGGCACAAAACCGCATCGCGTTTCGGAAACAATCAAACGGGACAATCGCCGTTTAGCCGATCACGAATGCGCGCTTGTGTGTTTCACACGTTATTGTTATATATATTAGAAAAATATCAATTGGACGGATATGAGCCTTTTGGTAGGCGTGGACACGGGTTGATTGAACGACTGTAGCCGAGGACCGTTGCACCGGATTTTATTGTTTTCGGTTATAGTGTTTATACGTATTTATTCAAAACGCATGTATAATGTATTTCTTTTTTTACCTATTTATTATTTTTTTTTTTTTTTAAAATAGCAATGCGAAAATCACGATAAAAAAACAATTGGGTTCGACACAAACGCATGCAGACATCATGGAGTTGGAGGGGCTTGGGTAGGTTTACTCCGTTTAATTATTGAAATAGCCCCCAAAAAAAGAGTTTCTATAAATACATTTTCGGTTCCCAACAATATTATCATCCTACCTTTTTTTAAGCGAAATTTAATATTTTAGAGGGTTAAGCTTCTCCGAGCTTCCCTTCCCATGTCCCTGATTTCCGTCAATGTCGTTATGCGTTAATAACGGAGACTGGTCGGTTAAGTACATATTAAACGTTCAGGGTTTAGTATATGTTAAGTTAAATGTACAAAACGAGTAATAATGAAATTACTCTGGAAAGTTAATTCTTAGCACAGATCGATTATCGTTCATTGTGAAGTAACTGTATTATAATATAATACGACATTTCAATAATGAATTCTTTGTCCTTAAAAACCGTTTGCGTAACAATGTAAAAATGAGGTTTTCGAAGGGAAACAATTATATGATTTTTGTGGATAAAAAATAAAAACATATTATACAGCATATAATTATTGAGGATAGAGCTGATGTAAGTTATTGTTCGTAAAAAATTATAAATTGTTAAATACAAATTGCAGTGATTTTTATAAAATATTTTTTTGAATAAAAACACTACTGTTAACTTGTTATTTTTTTTTTAAGTTTATTTAAATTTGACTAAGTTACTTTTTCTAAGCTAGATTAAAAAAACTATTCTCAGATTTGTCATTTTCTTATGCGTTACAATTTTAGTTTTGTTGTAAGCTGAAAAGATAATTTTACTTTGATTTTTTTTACTTATGGATTTGATTTTTACTCACTCTGTTAAACTCTGGTTTTACTTTGGCGCATTGATAACCATCACAACAAACATAGGTTTGTGAACTTCTTTTGAATATCAGGACGTTTTAAATATTATTGTACCTAATATTACGGAGGAAGGATATTTTGACTCAACAGCACAGATGAGAAAAAATACGGCATGCAATTTTTTTATGATTATCGACACGAAACGATTGAACACTAGTGTTCGAACCGAAGAAGTCGTCGCAGGTGGACACACCGGTGATGACTTAAATGCAGTTGGTGATGTCCAACGTGGTGGCCTGCGGCGGAGCGGGCAGCGCGACATCCACTTTGGCGCATTTGTTCTCGCGGTCTCCTCCGAATTTCTACAAGGGTGACGTTTTATTGTTTTCAGTCAAAACAAGACAAATAATTGTTGATTTATGAATATATATATAAATGTACTTACAAATTTCGCGGGAGACGACGGCACGGGCACGTACTTGACGATGACGGGAGCCCGGAAACAGCCGCAACACTGTTTGATCACGGGACAAAACGAACCGATCACAAACAGCAGGACGAACACTCCCCCGCTGCACACACACAACAATAATAAGTTATTTGTTTACTCACCACTATCTTAGCCGTTTATCAATCAAATTTGAGTATGATTTTTACATACATATATATTATAGTAGCTATATCTAAGCTACATGAGCTGCTGGTTTCAACATGTATGCAGGTACTTATAATATAAATGTATACTGACACTCTTACCAGAGATACCAGAGGCTGTAAACGTTGTCGCAACACTTGTCGTCGCCGCAGCAGTATTGTTGGGACGTGCACAGGCCCGCTTTGCATATGGATGCCGTCGCGCCAGTGGCCAGCTGCAGCACGACCAGCAGTATCGCCAGGTCGGCCGCCGTTTTCGGCGTCAACATCTTACACGCGTACGCAGCGTCGGCGGCTGTGGACACGACTGTCGTGGATGGAACCGTGTACGCGTTATCTCGGCGGCGGCCGTCAGCTGTGGCGCACAACCCTGTCGGCCGGGGGTTGAAACGACGGCGGTGGGAGCATGCCAATCGATACGAGCAGAGTATCCGCTATGCCCGCGACCGCCTTAAGCCTTCATTACTGTTTTGTTTACAATCGGGTTATTTTGGAAAAATCCTTTTTCGCGTTTTGCAATAACAGCAGATTTTCGCCCACGGAGTTGTTCACAAATAACATTATAGGCTTACCGATTAATAAGTGGTCGATAATGATTATTGAAAAAAAAAAAAGGGGTCGCGTCGCTAAAAATAATAAACCCCAATAACGCGAGTTGCACGGCGTGGCGGCTACCGAAATTACCAATGTTTTTATTTACCTACTTGGCCACCCGTCCCAGTCATCTAGCAGGGCAGGTCTGCAAACACTTGTTATTCCTTGCGCCCCCACGCGAGGTCGTAATGGTCCGGTGACGATGTCGTTTTATTGTAATTCACACGAAAACAACACATTAATATTTAAATATCTACTGTAGTTTGTATAAAGCTTGTACATGGGTCGTACACGCCGCGATATTATAGTTGATAATTGAAACCTTACGACAAGCAGAAATGTTAATTGTACTTTACTGTAATGTACATTAAGCTGTAAAGAAAAACATAAATGTTTGAAGTCAAGTAGCGTCTTGGTGTGTATACAAACCCAAAGTAATACATATGTTTTAAACTATATTTTCATCGCTCCGTATAAAAATATTAAAGTGTCTAAATTCATTCATTTAGACACTTTATCTTTGGTCGATCTTTACTCCAATATTTCGCTACTCTAGTATCTCTTATTTACCTTCTTTCAATATGTTTAAACCAACTTTTTTTTGTCAGATTATCACAATCATTTCTATAGGATAAATTACAATGGTTTTCCCATCAAAACTGCATTGCGCGGGGCAAGTATGTAAGGCCAGTACAAACAGTAAATTTACCAAATTTTCACAATGTATAGGGAAGAACTTTATCCATGGAGTAGCGTTTTAATTTTTTTGATATCTATAGTTTATACTTAATATTTTTTTATAAACAAACTAAAAAAAGAAAAAATAATGAATATTCACGAATGAATAATTTTGATTGTGCTTAAGTTATCAAAAAACTAAAAACACTACCCTGTAGATAAAGTTCTTCTCTCTCTATACATTGTAAAAATTGTATACAGCTTCTCTAAATACCGCCCTCACATTCTTGTCCCCCGCAAAACCATTTTTCGTAGATAAATTACGGGTGGGTAGCGTCCTTATAATGGTTAATGAATTATTATTATAAATTTGCACATTTTTTTTTTTTTTGACATTTCAAAACTTAAATCTTCTCTAGACAAAACTGTTATTCTATTTTTATATACTTACTAATAATAACAATATTTCATAATTCACAAAAGTTTTACAAATAAGTTATACTAAGAATATTGTTTTTTGGACCGGTAGGTAATTTTGCGCCAGGCCAAAGAATATTACTCATGAATATCAATTAATTATTTAAAAATATTTCCATTTTTTGTGGTATGTTTTAGCAGTATAAATTTTTTATTCAATAAAATTTAAATTTTGCGATTACCACCACTTCCTTTTGACAGAACTGTAAAATGTGTATGGTCTGCGAGAAGCGAGTAAAATCCAGCTAATGGTCGTGGTTATGTATAGGGTACTCGTACATGTCGCTTAGCACAGTAACGGTAATATATTATACTCAGGCCAACCGCCGGTTTGGGCAAAGCGGTCGCCGCCAGACTCATGCCGAATCCGGCAGCAAGGCATCTCTTCCGGTCCACATCGACGGTGTAGAGATTCCTCTCTTGATTCTCTTTAATGTATTTTTATTATTATTATACACATGTAACCGACAATTGCCATAGGCTTTTCATATATATATTTATATATGTACTGTATAATCTTGTACAACGGGCCTAGGTATTGGGTCAGAAGGCCGTCGTCGGTGAAGTATGTGCGCTTGTGTGTTAATTTTGTACAATCGCGTTAGACGTCCCAAGGACTCGCAAACAGTTTCGTAATTAACGAAAACATATTATAGAATTTATAATTGTTCCTCGACTCGTTTGATTACAATTTAACGGTTATAATTTACTAATTTTGCTCAAACCGCGTGAACTTCAGCTGACCTCGAGACGGGAAATTATTGTCATGACTATGATTTGTTTGTCTCTCCCAATGTCGAATCGTAGTATAAAAAACAGAAATTTAAGTACCAATAATATTATTAACTAGCCCCGTCACTCTCTCGAAATTTAGCATGTTGAAAAATATTTATTTTAAATAACTATATACGACGAAGTTATAATAGAAGTTATCGGCTGTCAATTAAATACATAGAATTCCCAGCAAAGAATAAACAATTAATATTTCAAAAATGTCATAGCAACGACTCCCGTTTTACAAAAAGGTAAATTCCCAAACGGCTCCGGTTTTTTACAACACAAATTCCTTCACGTTAGCGAGTTTTTTATGACAGCGGGTCTCCGAGTGTTTTGGCACTCGCTCGCTCGGCACCAGCGCTTCGCTCCGCTATCTAAAAATATCCTAGGTTTGTAGGCTACAGTCTAGGAGGAGGTTACAGGTTTAAAATTAAGTTGAAGTTTTTTTGAAAAGTTAAAGAGATTTGATAAGAAGCTGGTCATTGGGAAAAAGTGTACAATGGAAAATGGTCTTTGGTAAAAGTGGTGTCATCCCATTCAATAGAACTTAAAAGTAAGATATGACACGAATGTTTTCTGCGTCGCATCTGTACTTAATTTATTACAAAAAACATACGCGTAGTACCTAATACCGGAGACGTTTGGGAATTTTCCTACTCGTGAAACCTTTTTCGACGGGAGCCGTTTGGAAAATAATAAACAATGGATGGAAGCCATTTGGATTGCACCGCAAAATTTTTATCAAAATGCATGTGCTCTGATAGTCAAAATTTGAAGAGAAATAGGTAATATATTTCTTAAAATCATAGTCAAAAGATAGTTCAAACTAAACTAATTAAATCGAAATACGAACAAAATATCACAGCGCTTCAAACTATATATTATAGCAAACATAAAAAAGCAATTAAAATAACGGAAAATAACACAAAAAAACTCACGGTCGAAATCGTAAAAGAAAATGTAAGTACTACCACTTTGTCGAAAAAACGCGGCGCAATCACGGAGACATACCTAATATACAGCGGTGGGAACAAGCCTAAAGCCTAAAGGGCAAACGGTTATTAGAGTCGTGACAGTGCAACGGTGAGTATCGCATCTCCAGATGAAATGGGTCACATCATACATCCGAAGATGATCAAGTTAATTAATCAATCCATGATAGTTGACTCGTTCATAAAATATAATTTATTCCGTTTGTGATAACTCGAATTAGTTATCAATAAATAACTAGGGCATCTTAAAAAAAAAAATAAAAAAAATAGTTGTCAAGATAAATGTGTGGATTTTTATTTAGTTATTAAAAATTAGTTGCAAAAGACGCTGATTTTGTTTTGTGAAATTTTTGGTAACTATCAAACTGAATGTTTACGTTAGTATTTTTTAGACCCTATTTTTTTTTTCCAATAAGTTTAAATACTTATACCAGTTCGTTATGGGCTGTATGGGATACGTCTGTGCTCATAACATTGTAATTAATAATAATTAAACGCGATAAAATCGATTACCCGCAAATTGTGGGAAATCGCAAGTTGATACGTTCTTTATAAGCTTTATTAACGTGGAAGCATTTCATTGCGTTAAAGGAAAATATTTATTATCATTCTGCTGCAATTGTGTACCTAATACCGACCATATATGATAACATTATATTTATATGTATTGTTCGGTGGCATTACCAGGCAATGTCGATAGGCCTATTACTCGAGGTTCAAGAATTCGAATCGTTAATTTTTTTCTTTTGCTTTTTTACTGCAACAGCGTATGTATGACTTGGCGTGCGATTAACGGATTTTTATTAAACATGAAATGCGTCTATCACCCGAGAATTATATTACAATAATAATGGCTTGGGATTATATTGTTATAACTCATAACAGCTGCGTGATAAAATCTAGAATGCAATGTCATTACCGCGCATATAACATTATAATAAACAGATTTTGTGAGATAATTCGCCACCCTAAGTCCTGTAGAATTATTGCGGCAATACTGTAATATACCAAAACGTTTAATGGACGGGTTCTGATAATGACTTGTCCGCGTAGAGCTTGTACATTCATAGGTGTTTCTGTTTTTCATTGTCAACTTGAAAATATACAGTGAAATCGGTGCTATAGGAAAACAATTCAATTGAAAACGCGTTTTAATTCGCAAAAACTCAAAATTCTAGATATAATGATTTGAAAACTTTTTGACATTTACAAAAATATACTACTAGAGTGAAGTAAATGCTCTCTCTCAATTATTGAGTTGTTGCAGTTTTGAACTAAGGCGTCGATATATTCTTGAACTGTCTCTCATTAAATATTTGACGACATTCTTTTTCCATGATTCTGTGTTTTTTAAATATTCCCGTAGGGTTTCAAATAATAACTGGCGTAACCATCTTCAATAACTCTAGAAATGTCCTTACTTAGTTTTTACAATCAGACGGCGATGGTCGATGACAATCGAAAATGAGTTCTTCAGTCATACCTTCACAATTTTTTCCTTTTTTTCACAGGCAAGACGTATTGCAAAATACTCGCTTCTTCATCGATACTATATAATATTATCGCAAATAGTTTAGAATCGATTTGAGTTTTAATCTTGCAAGTAACACTACACGCTGCACATCAGAGGCGTGTCCAGTTGATTTTGAACTCTTAAAATAGACCCAAAATATGCATTTTTAAATAAATATTTTTAAATTTAAAACTAGAAATGTAATATTTATTTTTTGTATTAATACACCAAACATTGAAATCTGAATGTGAAATGTGAATACAT